CACCTAGAACTTCTCCTAAACAGTTTACAAGAATCAATTTTATTATGTGTGATGAAATGAACAGCTACTTTAAAGAAAAATAGACATGGTATCCATTGCTAATTCTGTACTGTCATGCTGTGAAATCCAGTAATGCTTTTATTCTTTGTTCAGAGTGGTGTTACTCTGTTTTGTATTGTTTAATTTCAACATACATGAAGGTATGGACAGCTATTTTGAAGCGAACAAGAGGCATTAAGGTAGCCATTGTTGATTTTCCTACTGTCTGGTTTTGAAGGCCTATAATGCCTTCACTACTCTGTTCTGATCAGTTGAATACTATTTTGTTTTGTATGTATTCAATGTGTTTGAAGATACAGACAACTATTTAGAAGAAAACAAGAGATACTATGCTAGACAGTGAAGATCTCCTGTTGTCTTGCCTTGAAATCTGTGTCACTTACATTGTTTACTTCTGATCTGTTTTGTTATGCTTAGTTTTAAAATAAAAAAATTAATAAAGAACAGAAAAAAGAAATTAAACTGTTACATCTTTGGCAACTCTTAGATGGGGACTAATGGAGTGTGTATAAGGGACATGGCTGAGTTTTGGGGGGGTCTAGGCATGGAATGCTATGATTCTAACATTATTATGGCTGATACATTGCATCAACTTGAAAAGTTTAGAAGTTTAACTAACAAACTCAGCAGGAAGACAGGATTCTTATTTTGTAAATATCCTCATCCTGTGCAAGAGGAGGGCACAGAGATTTTGTGAGTGCTATAATCATCCTTGGGGGCAGAAGGTGGCCTCCTTCAATATAAGGGAGAAAAAGAGGCTTGCTTTTCCCTCTCTCTCTCTCTCTTTTTTTTTGGTTGCTTTTGCTGGCTGCTGCCTTGAAGTGTTGTACCAGTGCTATGCCATCCTGCTTTGGAACCAACTGATTATGGACCTCTGTAGGGAGTGGCGCAACAGCCCATTGTTGCCTCCCCATCTCTCTCTCCTATGGGCACATAATGCACCTGCCTACATTAACCATAATCCTCTCCTGCTTAAGTCACATACCCGGATGTGACGATGACCTATCAGAAACCACCCCATAGCCTCTTCCTGTCCCACCAGCCCACCCTTGGCCCATAAAGATGTGACCACTTCCTGAATAAATGAGGCTTGATCGGATTCTCTTGACTTGCTTCAATCTCTCTTTGTCTCCCCGCTGTTTTATTTCATCCCTGTTCCCCCTCCAGGTATATACCCCACAAATTGATCCATGGACCAGATCAAGTGGCGTGTGGGGGCTCCTGGCATGGGGGAGTCAATGAGGGAGCCATTTGAGAATGCTGGCTAAAAGTGGAAACAAATTGAATCAAGGACCGAGACCTGTGTGGACGACTGCCCAATGTGCTGCCTGAGTCATGGTGAGTGAATGGCAACCCCATTCCCTTTCCCGGACATGGGTCAAGCATTGAGCGAACATGAATTGTTTGTGGGAGGCCTTAGCAAGGCATTAAAGACAAGAAGGGTGAGGGTTAGAACTAAAGAATTATTGCAGTATTTTTCAATTTATTCATAAGGTTTGCCCTTGGTTCCCCCTAGAGGGCTCTATAGATACCAAGAGGTGGAAAAGAGTAGGAGATGCTCTAAAAGATTATTATAGGGCTTTCAGTCTGGAAAAGGTTCTGGTAACCACCTTTGTATACTGGAATTTAATCTCTGAGCTGCTGACCCAGCAGCATGCAGATCCTCAGATTGAGATGGTCGCACAAGGTGAGGGGCCCTGCGTGACTCCGCTAATTCTACCCTAAAACTGTCCTCAGAAAACTCTGAAGCCTCTGACCTCTCAGACACAGAGGCTGACGACCTGTTAGAGGTCCTCCAAGATGGTGATCTGCTGCCACTTCCCCCTGTCGACATGATTGACAGGTTCCAAGATGGCAGCCCGCCACTCCCCATGCCTTCACGGCCAATTGGGGATTCATATAAGTCTTTATACCCCGACCTCTCTGATTTTCAAGAGGTCGACTGGGAACAACTAGAACAAGCCTCTACATACCATCCTGACCCTGTTGTGGCACTGGCCGCCATTAAGCCCCCTGACTATGATGATGCCCTTAGCGTCTGCCCTCAACCTTCTAGCACACTAGTGGAATTAGAACAAAGAGAAAGGGACAGCTACAGATACAGCTAGAAAAAGAATACCAAAATCTTTCAACTCAATTGCAGGCCCTCCAAGCTACACAGCCTTATAGTGCTCCTAAGATGGTGCCTGCCTCCGGCAAGCCTCGTGGTGCTCTTAAAATGGCGCCTGCGTCTGGCAGCTGACCCTTAGCGGTTCTCGTGGCCAGACCCTCCCCTACAGGGGGATCAACTCAAAATTGGGAATGCAAAACTAAACCCCAAATTATACTCAAACAAAATAACCGACCGGGGCCTTGCCCACAGGAGTATAAGTCATATCAGATAGAGATACATAGCTCCTGTTATGATGCTGTACAAGAATATACTGGCTTAGATAATGCCACTTATTTTACAGCCATACTTACAAAAATAAAAATGCTAGCAGCCAGAGGTGATTGGGGCCTCAACCCCTCTGTATCGGGAAGCCCCATATATACCCAAGCCTCCTGCAAAGGCAAAATCAACAAGCCGGTCTGTTGGTATAAGAGGGCTCCAATCCATGTCTCAGATGGGGGAGGTCCTCAAGACAAAATGAGAGAACTTTATGTTGAAAAAAAACTAATAGAAGACAGTCTATTCCCAAAGATCAATTACCATCCATTAGCTCTCCCCAAATCACGGGATGTGGATTTAGACCCACAAACTTATGATATCCTTTCACCCACTCACCATGTACTTAACCTCACTAACCCTGCTTTAACGCAAGACTGCTGGTTGTGCATGGCCTTAGGCACTCCTATGCCCTTAGCCATCCCCTCCAACTCAACAATTGACACCTCTCGTGATCCACATAATTTTACCTGTAGACCTTCCCAATCACTTCTAGTCCAGCCATTGACACCCAACATATCCATGACTTGCCTACAGGGCTCTCTCCAAAATGATTCTACCCTTACAGATATGGGCCATCTCCTGTCCACCACCTGTGTTCAACTTGTCAATCATACAGGCCCTCTGTGCCCCCCGACAGGACACATTTTTGTCTGCGGTAATAATAGGGCCTATACCTATATTCCAGCCAACTGGACAGGTACATGCATAACTGCGTCCCTCCTGCCCAACATAGATATTATCTCAGGTGAACAACCTGTCCTGGGGCCAACACTTGATTACATTACTGGCCATCAAAAATGAGCATAACACCGATCCCACTTTTGGTGGGAATGGGCATCACTGGCACTCTAGCCACGGGTACTGCTGGCCTCACCGTTGCCTTAGATAAATATGCTGACCTGTCCAACCAGTTGTCTAAAGATGTTCAAGCCTTATCCTTTATGATAAAAACTCTCCAAAACCAATTAGACTCACTGGCAGAGGTTGTCTTACAAAACAGACGAGAGCTAGACCTGCTCAGGTAGAGCAGGGGAGAATCTGTCTTGCCTTACAGGAAAAATGTTGCTTCTATGTCAATCAGTCCGGTGTTGTGTGAAGCAAGCTCCAAGAAATAGAAGAACGGCTTCAACAGCGATGACAACAAATGGCTACTAACTCCTTCTCCTCTATGTGGGGGGGACTTTTCTCTTACCTAGTGCCCCTTTTGGGTTCCCTAGCTGTCCTGTTGCTTCTCCTCTCTGTGGGTTCTTGTATTTTTCACAGGATTATGACGCTCATTAATAACCGGATAGATGCGTTTATGGCAAAGCCCATTCAGGTACACTTATCACCAGCTGGAGATGGCAGATCAACAAACCTACTGGGAAGGAATTCCCACGAGTGGCCCATATGACGATGTGGCCCAACTGCCCTGGGGCAATGGACAGGCAGCCAGAGATGGGCAACTAGGACATACATGTTACTCCATCGGCCTCCTAAGACAGGCACAGGACCAACTGCTGTCCTGCAAGCCCATGATGGGTAAAGCCTGGTTGGGTCCATGTAATGAGGTTCCTTGACCTAAGGCAGGTGCTGTCCTCACAGGGCCTTGCCATACTCCTGATTAAATAATATAGAAAGGGAGGAGATGTAGGGAGTGGTGCGACAGCCCCATTGCTGCCTCCCTGTCTCTCTCTCCTATGGGCACATAATGCACCTGCCTACATTAACCATAATCCTCTCCTGCTTACGTCACATACCTGGATGTCATGATGACCTATCAGAAACCACCCCATAGCCTCTTCCTGTCCCACCAGCCTGCCCTTGGCCCATAAAGGATGTGACCACTTCCTGAATAAACCAGGCTAGGTTGGATTCTCTCGACTTGTTCAATCTCTGTCTTCCCCGTTTTATTTCATCCCCGTTCCCCCTCCAGGTATATACCCCATGGATTGATCCATGGGCCAGATCAGACCTCCACACAATGAGCTAAACAAACCTTTTCTTCCTTCATTTTGGGTGTCAAGTATTTTATTCCAGCAATGAGAAAAATAAGACTGTAGCCAAGACAGTAATATAACATTGATTGACTTAATACTGGTTCTTAAGGATTGCTAAACCTGTGTTGTAATGTGCAAGTTGTGAAATGATAAGAATAAGCATCTCTTTTTATCTGGAAACCTGTTTAAAGAACTGTGGTTGCTAAGTTGACAAAGCGGTGGATTGTAATGTTTGACACACTGTGTCAACTTGAGAAGCTTAGAATTTCTTTTTATTTTAAAGAAAATAAAACCAAGCAAAATAAAACAGAATAAAGTCAATCAAAACAAAACAGAGTAAATGATAGAGGGCTTCAAAATAGGATAATAGGAAATTCACAATGGCTACCTTAATGCCTTGTGTTGTCTTCAAAGTAGCTGCAAGTACCATCAGACATAGGAAAATCAAACAAAACAATAGAACCAATAAAAACAAAACAATGAACACAAAACAGGGCTTGCAAACAAGAGTAAATAAAAGACAGCTACCATTAATATAACTGGTTATATTTGAAACAGCTACTCATGCCATCAGAACTAAACAAGAAAAAAAAGAATAAAACCAAACCAAACCAAACAATGAAATTTATGCAGGACTTTACAACAAGATAATAGGGAATTAACAATGGTTACCACCTTCAGAAGGAGATCTCCCATCTATGCTATATTTCATCTTGTTATCCTCTAAACAGATGATCAGATTACCAGTTTTAAGCCTGTAATGAAACACTAAGCACTATAAGCATTAGGTTGTATTTTACCTCAATAGCCATCATGTTAGCCTGTGTTTCTCCAGATCAGCCAGTTGCTCAAGGGGGAGGGGGAAATTTTGGCTCTTCTTGTCTCCCAGCCTGTGCATCAGGAGGGGCTGGCGTGTGTTCTGCCCATGGCTTGTGCATGGCACTAACTCACAGGGAGTGGCTGGCTTCTTCTTCTCCTCCCTGTGGCCCACAAATGGCACAGACTAACAGGAAGGGGCTGGCATCTCAAGAACTTTAGAACTTTAACTGAACTAAATTTTAACTAAACTCAGTAGGGGGCCAGGGTCCTCACTTTGTAAACATCCTCATCCTGTGCAAGAGAAAGGTAGGGAGATTGTGTGAGTGCTACACCTGACTTAGAGAGTGGTAAGGGAGGAAAAGAGGGTTGATCAACACCTTTTTTGCTCTTGCTGCTTTTGCTGTCTTCCACTGCCAGAACTGTTGGCCCTGCACCATGCCACCCTGACTTGAGGCCAGTTGTTTATAGACTAAAACCTCCACAAAGTGTAAGCTAAATAAACCTTCCTTCCTTAATTTTTGGTGTTGGGTATTTTATCTCAGCAACAAGAGAAAAGTAACTAAGACACGTTGAAAATAAAATTTTGGCATGGGTTTTAGCCATAGTACTTGGTAGTAGGTTTGTGCATCTGTTCTTTAACTAGAGATCTAGCTGAGACACTGAGTCTCTTGCTCTGAACATAGCCTATTAGCATCAGAAGTCATCATAGTTGGGTCACAGAGGGAAGGAGAGCCCACCTTCTGAAGAGGCACAGGCCAAGAGTAAAAAGAAAACCTGAGCATGGAGAGGCAGGATGTCTAGAGAACTTCTCTTCTGGGAAGCTTCTCTCCTTCCTCCTAGACTGCTGCTGGGTACCCTGCCCCCTGGTCATAACCGGACATGGCCAGGTGAGCAAACAGCTCAACTGCAATCTGGCTTCAAGGAGCCACTCCCTGGGACGTCTGAAAACTGCAGTTGGACAAAGTGGTTTATTTTTCTGGTGGGGGCCTGATGCTTTGAGGAAAGGAAGGAAAAAAGCAAAGTGAAGATGAGTCCTGGTTGCTTTGGGGCCCTGTGGCACAACTGCCCTTTTGTTCTCTGAACACATCAAGGGTATTTCCCCTTTCCTTACATAGTTTTGCTGTCACTAGTAACAACAATCACCACAATACACAAATCTCATGACCAATGCAGTTAGTTATTCACAGACAAATAAATTAATGAGGAGTCACAGAGGCACAGGGTTCATGAAGCCCTGGAATCCAGTTCTGTGGTGAGACGCTCCAGAGCTGCCTTGGCTCTGTGACCAGGAATGCCACCATAGTGTGTTCCTGCTCTAAAAGTCTCTCATAATACCACTCCCCTTGGTCTCCTCAGAATCATATTCTACAACTTGCCTTGACTTAGCACAAGGCTCATTATTATAACTCTTAGCAAGAGCACAGATTTGGCACTCAGAGGCTTTGGGGCATCTTAAACTCTTTGGACCACAAATTTTTAACAACAGAATGAAGGAAACACATGCCTTGAGCTGAGCTTGGATGTGTCATGCACTTTGCACAGGGCCAGATACCGTTGGTACTCACTCACTCTACTGTCACTAAGATTACATAGAATAAGGAGCTGCCAAGCTCTGGCACTCTTTGTGAGATAAACAATGGGAGTCTGACCACACGAGAGTCAACACTCTTGATGTTCCTGCCACATTGCCACTGCTTAGCTTTTGAAGATGAACTGCAGAAGAACCAGGGACAAGATAAGTTATACCGCACATCAGGCCAGAGACTTATGGTGCCACGTCATAAACCTTATTTGAGGGAAAGAATTTCTTTCTCTAATACTGAATGGATCTGGATCTAAAAGATAAGAGGCATGCTTTTTCTGTTTGTCCAGGTTGAAATTTTATCTTATCACTCTTATGGTAATATGGGCATCTCAGTGAGTTAAAAAAATTTAACTTATTTTTATTTCCAAGTTAATCTTAGCTGAGAAATAACAAAATGCTCTTGGAGTCATAATATTATACTCAAATTGCAACATATATGGTTTTGCTTATTGTGCATGAAAATTGGCCAAATCCAAAAAAAGCCATAAAAAATGCCATATTAAATAAAATCCAAACCAATACAATCTCTCAAAATAACCAAACCACACTCCTATCCCTCTCAAGGTTTTGTTTTGCAGTAAACATTCATGTTGTAAAAATTTATTTAGGGCAAGAAGAAAAAAATAAATAGATCATGCTAGGAAGATGGTGGAGTGGTAAGCAGCAGAGCAAACAGCCTCTCTGGGAGTCACCATCCAGACACTGGAATGTAGCATCATGAGGAAGACAAGCAAGGAGGGAAGCAGGTCCTTTGGAACCTGGAAGAATCTGAAGTGCACGTCGACACACACAGAGACAGTGAAAAGAAAAACTTCAATAAAGAAGAAGGCGGTAGCTGGTGGCACTTCTCCCTGAAACTGGACTCATTGCATGAGAGGAGCTAGTTAAACCTGAGGATGCAGGGCCATGATGATGGGAAGGGTGGAGACCTCAGAGGCCTCTACAGAGAGACATGGCAATGAAGGGGAGCAATGGACATGGAGGACTGCACTGGCTGGAGCTGTCAGTCCTGGTATCCCATGACTGAGATTGACTAAGAGTCACAGAAATACTGTGGCACAGTGCCAAAGAACCAGGGACTAGGCCAAATAAGCAACAACTTCTCATCTCTATCAAGCAGAAGAGGTAAGATCTTCCAACTGTCATAAAACCCCAAAACCAGCTACATTTGGAAGATACCTCAGAGAAGTAGTCATCACTTAAGGGTCCTAAATACTAGCAATAAAGCAACCCACCATAGGCAATTTACAAGCATCATCCCAGGAACTAAACTAAAAAAAGAGAAAAGAAAATGAGAAGACACTTAAGCAAAATGCAACACCAGACATTCAGTTCACAAAAGACAAATCTAGGGAGCAATGAGGTGGGACAAATCTGAAAACCCCCCATCAGGCCTCTCTGAAGTGTTAACAACAAAGTAATTGAAAGAGGCCCTGGAAAAAATGAAGTAATCTCTCTGGTAACTACAAAGATAATAAAATACACACCATGCTTAGTGAGGTTAGAGCACACACAGACAAAAACCAAGATAGACAAGCTTAAGAGAATTATGGAAGCCCAGAACAGGAAAGAAATGGAATCCATTAAGCAGATTCAAATAGACATCCAGGAGAATAAAAATTCTATTGAAAGTATTCAAAGCAGATTAGGCCAGTGTGAGGACAGGATCTCAGATATTGAAGACAGGCTTGCAGTTAGCAACCAGGAAAAGAAAGATTTCTCAAAAAATATCCAGGGACCATGAGAAATCAATCTGGCATGTTCTAGATGAGACAAAGATGAATAACTTAAGGTTGACTGGAATTAATGAAAAAGCAGGTGATACCACAAGTGACATTTAAAAAATGTTCACAGACATCATGACAGAAAACTTTCCTGGTAGATAAAAATAATCTGACATTCAGATAAACAAGGCACACAGAATTCCAATTAGCACTGATAAAACAAAAACAAAAATGCATATCATGGTCAAGATTCCAGAAATTCAACACAAGAATAGAATTCCAAAAGCTATTAAAGAAACAAATCACCTACAAAGGAAAGCCCATCAGAATTATAGCTGACTTCTCGGCACAAACTCTCAAGTCAAAGAGAGCTTGGAGTGAAGTACTCCAAGTTCTAAAGGAAGATAGCTTCAATCCAGATTGATGTGTTCTGCAAAACTATCTTTCAAAATTGATGAAATAAGATATTTCCATGACAAAGAACATCTGAGGAAATTTATGACTACCAAACCAGCACTCCATCATGCTCTGAAGGACATTGAAGAAAGAGATAATAAAGACTACAGTTCCATGAACACCAACAGGGAAGGCAAACAACTAGAGGGAAGGGAAAAAACAGGAAAATAATATGACAAGGATAAGTCAATACATATCAGTTATAATCATCAGTGCTAATGGTCTCAATTCACCAGTCAAAAGACAAAGACTGGCAGAATGGATCAAGAAGCAAGATCTAACAACAAGCTGCATACAAGAAATACACTAAATTCAAAAAGGAATTCAAAGACTGAGAGCCAAAGGATGGACAACAATATTCTATGTGACAGGAATCCAGCAAAAGCAGGGGTAGCTATTTTTTTTGCAGACAAAGTGGAGTCCAAGAATGATTAAGATAAAGGTCACTACATCCTTATAAAGGGAATAATCCAAGAGGAAGAGGTAACAATCATAAATTTATATGCAACAAATACCAGTACATTGAACTATATAAAACTATTAATGGACATGACAAATCATGCCCTAATACGATTGTATTAGAAGACCTCAATACCCCATTGCCACAAAAAGATTTATCAACTGAACAAAAAAATCAATAATGAAATGTTAGGACTGAATGAAACTTTTGAGCATGGATTTAGTAGATGTGTATAGAGTGCTTCACCCCTCAACATCAGAATACACATTCTTCTCAGCTGCACATGGAATGTTCTTCAAAATAGACCATATACTGGCTTACAGAACATGCTTAAGTAAATGCAAGGAATTGAAATTATCCCATGCATACCATCACACTGCAGTGCAATGAAATTGGAAATCCATGGCAAAAGATACCATAAGAAGTTTGTAAATACTTGGAAATTAAATAGAACCTTACTGAACAACCAGTGAGTCACAGATGAAATTAAAGAAGAAGTTAGACAGATTTTGCAGTTGAATGATAATACAACATACCAGAACTTGTGGACACAATGAAAGCAGTCTTAAGAGAGAAATTTATAGCAAAAAATACTCATATCAGGAAAATAGAGCAACAACATAAAAACAATGCTGAACTTCAAACTTCTAGAAAAAGAAGAGCAGGCTACTAGCATCCTAGTAGCCTAGGATGAGGGAGGAAATTATAAAGATCAGAGCAGAATTTTACACATTGGAGACTAAAAAAGTAATACAAAGTATCAATGAATTGAAGAGTTGATTCTTTGAAAAATAAAATAAAACTGACAAACCCTTAGCTGACCTTATCATAAAAAGGAAAGAAAAAACTTAAATCCATGCAATTTAGAATTAAAAGGGTGAAATCACAATAGACCTTGCAGAAATCCAGAAGATCATCTATTCCTACTTTGTAAACTTGTATTCTAAAAAGATGGAAAATACAAAAGAAATGGACAAATTCCTAGATACATATGAACTACCAAAGTTGAATCAAGAAGATATAAAAACCCTAAATAAACTAATATCAATCAATGAAACTGAAGATGTAATTAAAAACCTATCAACAAAGAAAAGCCCAGGTCCTGATGGATTCACTGCTGAATTCTACAAGAAATTTAGAGACTACACCTAGCACGGTTACACTCAAGACTCTTTAATGAAAGTGAAAGGGAAGCAATACTTCCACATTCATTACTGGAAGCAAGTATTATCTTGATATCAAAACCAGAGAAGAACCCAACTAATGAAAGAGAATTATAGGCCAATTGTACTAATGAACACTAATGCAAAACTTCCCAATAAGATACTAGCAAACAGACTGCAGCAAATCATCAGTATGATTATACACCATGATCAAGTGGGATTCATCCCAGGGATGCAGGGATGGTTCAACATACATAAATCCTTAAATACAATACACCGTAATAACACAGCTAAGGACAAAAATCATATGATCATTTGAACGGATGCAGAAAAAGCTTTTGACAAAGTCTGGAACACATTCATGATAAAAACCCCTACACACATTTGGAATACATGGTCTTTATCTCAATCTGATAAAAGCCATCTATGACATACCAACAGCCAACATCACATTAAATGGATGAAAACCGGTAGCTTTCTCTCTAAAATCAGGAACAAGACAAGGATGTCTTATTCAGCTCTTACTCAACATAGTCCTAGAAACTTTAGCTGGAGCAATTAGACAAGGGAAAGAAATAAAATAAATAAAGGAAAGGAAGAAGTTAAACAATTATTATTTGCAGATGACATGATACCCTATATAGAAAACTCCACCAAAGACTACTAGGTTCAATAAGCAAATTCAGTAACACAGTGGGATACAAACTCAACACTCAAAAATCAATGGCCTTCCTATACAAAAATAACAAACTCATTGAGAGAGAAATCATGGAAACAACATCTTTTACAATAGCATTCAAAAAAAAAAATGAAATACCGAGGAATCAATCTAACAAAGGATGTAAAAGACCTCTACATTGAAAACTAAAATACTCTGAAACAGGAGATTGAAGAGCATATTAGAAAATAGATACCCTGTGCTCTTGGGTAGGAAGAACCAATACAGTGAAAATGGCCATACTTCTAAAATTGTTATACAGATTCAATGCAATTCCAATCAAAATACCATATCTCAATTAGAGAAAACAATTCTAAAATTTATCTGGAAAAAGAAGAGACCTAGAATATAAAAGACAGTCCTCAGCAAAAAGACAAGACTTGGGATATCACAATTCCAGATTTGAAATTATACTATAAAGTTACTGTGATTAAAAACAGGGTGGCACTGACAAAAAAAAAAAAAACCAAAACAACAACAACAACAACAACAACAACAACAAAAAACCCAGATCCGAAGATCATTGGAACAGATTAGAAGATGTGGCAACAACTTGAGAAGCACTCAGCCACCTTATCTTTGACAAAGGTGCCAAACACATTCATTTACGTGACGAAAGCCTCTATTCTAAATGGTCCTAGAGAAACTGATTTTACACATGCCAAAGATTAAAACTGGACCCATATCTTTACCATGCACTAAGCTAAAATCAGAATGGATCAAAGGTCTTAATATTAAAACAGAAACATTAAATTTGCTAGAAGTTAGAGTAGGTAAAACTCTTGCAAACATTGGTGCATGCAAAGACTTTATGAACAAAACCCCAGCTGCACAGGAACTACCACAAAGAATCAACAACTGGGATCTCACCCTACTGAAAAGCTTTTGCACAGCAATAGAGAAATCGCCAACTGAGTGAAGAAATAACCTACAAAGTGGGAGAAAATGTTTGCTGGCTGTACCTCAGACAAAGGACTATTTTATTGAGAACATATTAAGAAAAAAAATCAGTCCTCCCAGTTTAAAGATCCAATCCAAAAATGGGCATCTGAGATGAATACACACTTCTCAGATGAAAAAATACAAACAGCAAATAAATATTTGAAAAAATGTTCAACATCACTGGTTATTTGGGAGATGTAAATTAAAACAACACTGAGATTCCACCTCACCCCAGGAAGAATGACTAGTATTAAGAAATCAAGCAATAACAAATGCTGTAGCTCTGGGGCTAAGGGAACCCTTCTCCATCCACTGTTGGTGGGAAGGCAGACTGGTGAAACCACTGTGGAAATCCTCAAAAAACTAGGACTAGTTGTCCCATTCGGCCCAGCTATTCCCCTTCTGGGTATCTTCCCAAAATAATTAAAAATGTCAAACTACTGCAATATGTGTGCACCCATGTTTATAGCAGCACAACTTGCAATAGCCAGATCTTGGAAACAACGTAAATGCCCATCCACTGAGGAATGGATAAAAAAGATGTGGTATTTTTATACAATGGAGTACTACTCAGCCATAAAGGATAAACTAGAGATTTTTATAGGTAAATGGATGCAACTTGAGACCATCCTCGTTAGTGAAAATAAGACACGTGTAAACATATTCTCACTAGAGAAGCTGAAGGAAACAACATATTTATATGTGTATGTATGTGCATGTATATAAAAAACTAAGATAGTTATCCTACTGCTTTCTCTAAGTTCACTGAAGAGAAAGATTTGTGCTGGTATTGTTTGGACAATTGATTTCAGATATTTTGTGCTCCAGGTGAATGATTTGGGGATGACAATGAGCAGTACCATTGTTGCCCCCTAATTGTCATGTTTTGAAATTTTGTGTTAATTTTTCTTTTTTCCTTGAAATAAAATGGATTTGAAAAGTAAATAAATAAAATGAGGAAAAAGAAAAGGATTAATTTTAATCAGGGATTTTCAGGGACTCACTTCAAATGCAATGACTCAAATTTTTAAGTAAACATAAATTCCTGGGTGCCCTGCAGTTAACTGATGAAAAGAATGAGAATAAAATCGGTACTAGAATTTAAGTATCCCCAAGTTGCATTTTTGGACTTATAATGATAATTAATGATGTTGACAGAAAAGAATTTATCTACTTTGGACACTATTGTTTTTAGAAGCATTGAGAGGTTTCAATGAATATCAATCAAGATTTACTGAAAGTTATTCACAGAAGTGGTCTAGTAACCTTGGCTAAGTGAAACCATCATATGTAGCATTTATTATTAGTTTCATGACAGCCCAGAGGAAGGAACAGCTGTCTCCTCTGCTCTGCACATGAGTGAAGAAATGAACCTCAAGCTACACGGGACAGTCACAGGTGAGTACGGATGGCCCAGGAGGGCTTCCTCTTGCCTTGTAGGATAGCGAAGATCATGGTCCTACAACCAATGGAAAAATACATTGCCAGTGAGCAGGCTCAGAGATTTTATAGGTGAGGCCTTGGCTAGACTTTCTATTCTTTATAAAAAATCTTCCTTAGAATCAAAAAAATAAAAAGGAAAAAGCAACCATTCCCTAATGGTAATATATATTAACTTTACATTTGCAAGAGTGAGTTTTCCTGATCCCTATTACTTTGTTCTAATGTTCTCTTGTCTTTCAGAGCTTCACATTGACTTTATTGATGGTTGCACATTCCCAGAAATAATGAAGAATTTTCTGAGAAATTTCCAGTCTCTGAGGAAAGCTCACATTATGACTCAGCCCTTATTTGTGTCCAACAAGGGCATTTCCATAGTGTGGTTGTATCATTTAAACAGTATTTCAGCATCCTATCGGTGGGAGATTGGGTCCAGGATCCCCTCGGATACTAAACTCCTGGGATGTGCAGGTCCTGATATAAAATAGCATTGTATTTGCATGTAACCAATGTACAGCCTGCATAAATCATATATAGTTATTATACCTACCACAGTGTACTTGCTATGGATAATGTACTGTTGAGGAAATAATAGCAAGGTACAAACATCTTTATTCATCTATATTCGGTACAGATGCATTGTTTTTCAACTGGTTGAATCTGAAGGTGACAGCTCATAGACAGAGAGAGGTAATAACAGTCCTCAAAAGCACCAGGATTTGTGCACTCTAGGCCAAGTTGGGACTGTGTCACTGATGGGTTTTATGACTGTTCACAAAGTATTTAACTTTTTGATCTCCATTTCCCCCAGCTGTATGGGGTTGTGGCAATCATAGCCATGGTGGATTTAAAGGAGGTGATGCATGATCAGGATGAGAAAAGGAGCTGACAGGACTAAAGGTTTAACAAGTGTGTTTCTTTTTAAATAAGTTAAGCTATATTTGCACCTATAAAGATATATAAAAAAGTTTAGTAGCTCTCAGGTATTATCATTAAATGACTTGTATATCAAGTATAACTTAGCAAATCATCTTTAAAATAATTTCTCTGCAGGTATTTCTCCTTCTCAATGTTTTTTCCCAATAAAGTTTTCATTTAAACATTATTGCAGTCTTCACTGGTTTGTCCCCTGGCTGATGACTGATGTCATGAAAATCTTGCAGGCTGAATCTTATGATTTCATAAATTTGTTGAAATTTAAACTTTTTGTTTCAAGCATTGACATGGCAGACTGGACATCAGTTGATGAGCAGAGACCATGAACCCTTTTTGGTGTGAAAAATCTTCCCTCCTCCTGTAAGGCCTGAGGTTTAAATACACACATCTTCATAACTTTAGGAATATTTTGGAGGACTGGAGAAGGGTGAATAGAACCTGGACATGAAATTTGTTTTTCTACTGGCGATCAAATGCAGGGTTTCACACGTGCTATCCAAATGCTTTACCACTGATCCACATCCCCAGCCTCGAAATTTTTTATTTAAATTGGTGATTCAGGTCAACAGACATTCACTGTATTGTTTTCCCATTCAAGTAGCAACATTCCTATTAAACAAATATTTTAACCAGTCTGTCTTTCAACAGTTTCTCCCATTTGAGTTTGGATTATGAAATTTTGCTGAGAGGAATAAAATTCTCTACCTTCCTTTGTGTCTCTAGGTTTGAATTTATCCTAGTTTTATATTAATTACTCTAAAATGCCTAAAAGCAGTAAATACAGAAGCCTGCTACATACCAGAGTCAAGGGCAGTACAGGTGAGCATGCATTGTCACAGGTGAGTGGTGTCAAGGTATTTCAAGCACAATGCAAATCTCTTACATGCGTGTACATGGTATTGCTAGAAATATTAACCGCGCTTTATTTACAAAGTGATTTTATATATGAAAACTTCAGAGCAGGTTTTGCATGCCCCAGGAGTGTGGGAAGAAAACACGAAATCCCCAATATTTAATTACTGACTCCTCCAGGTGTCAGTAGTACAAAACTTTTCACTAGTATAAGATAGGACATTTATTTGCAAACATGACTACATCCAGAGTGTGCAATGTTTTTTTCTGATAATCACTGCAAAATCAACTGGGTGTTGTAGTCTCTTGCTCTTCAGCCCATCTCCAGTCCCAAACCTACTGAATCCTTGAGGTCCAGAAAAAGTAAGCACTTCTGTCAGTGCTGGAAAACAGGTAGGATCTTCATTTTACAGATGAGGAAACTGAGTTAAGAAACATGAACCCAAGGTCAACAGCAAGAGACACAGTCAGATTCCAGATTTGTTAGGACTAAGGAGGCAGAAGTGTGTGCCTGGAAGTCACCACGCTGGTGATCCAGAAGCTGGGGGTGCACTTTTCCCATCACTAGGAGTTAAGAGACTAAGAGAAAAGTGAGATCTGAGTCTCTTTACACAAATACACTTCTTGTTTTTTCTTCCTCAGGATTTTAAAGATCGAGTTCAAGAGGATTGGAAAGTGGGTCACCTAAGCTCCCAACTGCTTGCCTCCAACACTGGCCTTAAGATTTTTGACTTAATTTAGAATTTTCATCCTCAGGGAACACAGATTCATTATGGAAATTTAACCAAATTCTGTGTATCCACCTTCCCATGGACCACCCAATGCCTCACTCTTCCAGTGGAGCAGTGTAGTGTGAGGACATGAGCTTAGATAAAAATTATCTTTTCCATTCAACTTGGTTCTTTGCCACCTGTATGACATCCTGTCACCATGTCGAAAGCAGCATTTGGAAACCTCTCCTCAAACAACAGTGGGGAGAGTTCTTGAACGAATAACAATAACCTACAAAGTTCCCACTGTGTGTCATGGGTGACCTTGGAGCTAGATGAAAGGCACGAATTAGTAGTCACTTTAGTTACAAAAGCAAGTTGCCAATAGCTGACTCCCTGGGACTTGCTTTCCTGGCATCTCAGAACCAGCTGCAGGCAGCAGCCTGGCTTCATCTGGTGGCTGAGGCTCTTCCCTGGCTCACAGACTGCTGGGTATGTTTGCTAGGACCTGCTGCATAGAAGAAATTTGCACACTTTGCTACTTATTTTGGTAAATTATCAGGGAACACATCCATGAGAAACAAACATCAGCTTGTTTGCATTTAATTAACACCATCTCCAAAATCAAAGATTTTAAATGAAAGAGATTTGATCTAGAGAAAGACACCAAAACAAAACCAGCAGCAAGGATTCCCCCATTTCCATCATAAAGACTGGTTGTGCAAATAGAAGCCCCTTTGGTGAGATGCCAAGTCCAAGTTTGAGACTGCAAGTAGGTGAGAGTTACGGGAATGGGTTCACCCCATCTGCTAGCAGCTGTGCACAGACGGCCAAATGTGGGGTGTCAGTAGATCTTTGCTCACATACTTGCTTTGGCATCTCATTCCTTCTTCCCAGGGTTTTGGGCTTGGGGGTACTGATGGGAGAGGCAGGAAGAGAACAAAAAAAGGCAGACAGGCAGAGTAGGACAGAAAGGGAACTGACAAATGGCCAGCACTTAGGAACATGAGAAATGGGTATGTATCGTGTTAGAAACCTAAAATTCTCTTCACTTTTATGGATGTGATTCGTGTGCTATAACAATTTGCTGCTATCTACCTTGGCAACCATTAAATATTCATTTGGTAATTTCCCCCAGTAAAAAATAAAATTATTTTAAAACTGTACTTTATTTATAATATGGAAATAAAATATTCCTAAATCAAAATCAAGATTCAACATGCAATGTAACCGGCTAACAATAGTGGAGAATTGTCAAGTCTGGGCCTAATAATAGTACTTCACAATCAGAATGCATCTGTGTCTTTATTGTCCGGGATGCCTGAAAAGCTTCCATTATCTTCAGTATCACGTTTCTGGTAAGAGGTGGCACCAGGCTACAAAAGAAGACCCCTGCACAGAGCAGGATGCTCAGCCACTGGACTACTTGTAAGATAAAGCTGCAGTCTGTAATTTCTTTTCAACTAAACATCCTGACTTTACCTCTGAGGTCATTGGTGAAGCCTAAATATTGGGATAAAGATACAAGAGGGTAGTAATGCTAAAAAAAAGGATTGAAATTTCTGGTTGGCTGTTATGAAGCATTTAGTTACCTACAAAACAGAATCTTTGTAACTTGAGAGAGCTGTCAGCTATGGCGAACTTTGCAGTAGCTGTCACGTGTAAAATGATACGTGTGTGCTGTGCAGAAGGGTGTTTCTGGAAAGGGAATGCTTTATTTGTACAAATACCTTACTGAGTATTCTCGTCTCATCCGTTTTGGAGACATCAGAAGGAAGCTGAGATGGCAGCAGCTGTCCACTTCTGCTTCCCCAGGATCAAGGCCTGGAGCTACTTTTGTGTCACACTCAACATGAATACAACCTTTCAGCCTCCTCTAAACCAGCTCTATTTCAGGCCTTTGGTCTTTGAGGGCCTGGGGTGATAAGAGATTATAAGTTGACCAACTCAAAATCCCCAACCAACCAACCAACCAACCAACCCCAAATAAAAAACAAAAACCACCCCAAAGCCTCAACATCTATTTTTCTTCTCAGTAACTACAGCCCAAATATATTTGGGAAAGTCAACCACTCCGAAGGATAGCTTTTCTTAACCCCTTTTGTGCTAATGTGGCCAAATGTCTGGATGTCTAGATGTTGACCAGTGAAGTGGAACAGGAAGCAGTGAATTATGCCTCTGGGAAGTCCTTAACAGAGAAGGATTTTTGACCCTCTGTCTTCTTCCCATATGAAAAGCAAGTGTAATATCTGGAACTGCAGCCCTGCTTTCGAATGAGGAAAACACAGGTATTGGTCAATCTGAGCCCCAAGGAACTAAAAGGTTAGTTTCTGGACAGAAGGAACATGGAGGTCATAGGTACATGGACTTCTCTCCTAGCCTGGACTGCTGCTCCCAGAGGTGAACAGATTTCTGTTTATCACATTCAGCTAAACATAAGCCCAACAATACGAGTTATAAGCAATCTGAAGAAGTAAGCATTCGGTGTACTAAAAACAATGTCAAACATACACAATGCAATTAATAAGGCCAATAGTTTGTATTTTAAGGGCTCTGAGAAACCAGGTACACAGAGATGGTTTGTTGTTGCACTATCAAGTAACTCCAGGGTGTGACTGTTTTACTAAGCATCTGTGACAGTGTCATCCTTCACGTGCTCGAAGGCTGAAAAATTATGATGAATAACTACTAAAAGGAAGTGATAATATTATAAATACTTCACAGTATTAGAGTTTTCAGTTGTGAGGATGTAAAAATCTTTAAAGAATTTAATAAGATATCATGGCTGAGCAGCTTCTGTGTGTCAGACAAAGGTGTAAATCTTTACAGTACATATTAGGCTCTCACTTAACAGGCAATGAGAAAAGATGAATTATTTGCCCAAAGTCAGTTAAATTTCAGGGCTTATGTTGCAAAGCAGCAGAATAAAATATCTTACATGCTTATATTTTTTTCTCCACAGTTTTGATCATCTTAACTCTTTTCAGTTTTACAAGGAGCTATGTCAGAGCCACCTCTAAGTCCATACAGAGAGACAAGCTGTTGTATTTTCATTAGGATCACACTTTTAATGGCTTAAACCCTTCCACATATACTTTTGCTATTCTAAAAATTCATGAATCTAAAGCCCAAATAGGACAAATGAAGTTTTAAGAACTGTTTTTGCCCTGGCCCCCCCAACCTTAAAAGAGATTTTTAAAAAGTCACAATGTAAAAAAAGTTAAGGTCAAGGTGTTTTGCTATCATGCAAAAGACTAACCATTTGGTTACCGGTCACTTCGACTCCCCCTGAAAGCTGCTCAACCAAACTTGTGTCCAACAAGTGGTTAATTATTAATTCCCTGGGTGACTGTCCCTGAACGTGGTAGGCACTTTAAAGGGGTAGCTACCTTTTCCAGGCTGAGGACAACATTTGGCTCTCACAAGCAAGACAAAGAATTTACAGTTGAACATGGTGCTCAGCGACTGTGTGCCCTTGGGGCTAGGAGAGGGGACTTCACAGCGTTCTCACAACATCTGCACCAGATGTTGAGGGCTGTGACCGTTGGCAAGCTGGGCGCTCAATTTCTCAGTGAGCACAGCAGCTCACTCTGATATTTATCCTGGTGTCCTGAGCCAGGGCCCATTCACATAGTGAAGCTACAAGTATTTAACAAGCAGCACAGCCCACGCACCCACCATCACAGCAGATGCTGAAGGTAAACAACTCCTAAGTTGCAGCAAATGGTCAGTTCTGTGTCCCAAGGAGCAAAGGCGTCTCCCCTTACTTAGCATGGCACTGACTCCCCTGCCCACCCCAATTCTGTCTTCTAATCTGCCTCGTCCTCATCTTCTCCTGCAGTAGCTGCTTCTAATGCTGCAAGGGCTTCTGCCACCGCCTCATCCTCGTCCTCTTCCTCCTCCTCGCTGTCTCCCTCGGAGCCCTGGGCAGGCATCTGCTTGCTCCTGGAGTCAGCTATAGGCACGACCTGAGCAGGACCCTTCTCGTTAAAGTAGATACTTAGAACCTCAGTTGCCACTGCCTCATTCAAGGAGTCCCAGTTCCTTTGCATGGGGAAGGGAATATTTAGTTCATACTCGGTCAACCCAGGATGAACTTCTGCCAGGGGCTCATTCTCTGCATGAGTCTCAAAGAGACAGTCCTTTTCCTCCTGCTCCTCACTGTCCCCAGCCGGGTCCCACAGCTGAGGGTAATCCGGGACTGGCAGCTGGGGGATGTGGGCTTGTCCTTCCGAGACTGGGCTCTCCGCCTCAGCAGGAGCCCTGCAGCCTCCTCTGCCCACGGCTGGAGTCTCTCCCGAGGCAGGTGGCACACAGTCCTGGCTCCCGGTGTCCCTGCCTTCAAGGAAGGGTTGAGCTGAGTGAAGACTGTCTGCAGTGCTGGCCCAAGAGCCCATGGGCCCAGGGTGAGGCCAGAGGTTTCTGGAGGATTCCGGGGAGGCACTGGGGCCAATGCCATTGGCGGTGCCTCCAGGCTTGGTGCAGAGCCCCTCTCCAGGGTACCCCTGAGGGAGTGATCCTTGGGGAGGCCCGCAGGGCTCCTGTGGGCCAGCTTCCCTGCTTCTGCTCTCCGTCCTCCTCAAGCCCTCGCCCCAGAGTGCATTTTTATGCACCAAAACCTCACTGCTCCGACTTTTTAAGTTATCAGTGTGGTCTTCATCCAACTTGGTGCTGCTTACTTCACTGACATAGTCAGGGGATGGTGCTTGAACTGCATCAAAGAGGTAGCTGGGGGTGAGAGGAGTGGAAATCAGTGAGTTTGGCATCACAATGGAGAGGCGAGCACGTGCACAAGCTCGGGGATTACTCCTTTAAACCTCTGTGTGTCTAAATCAAAGATATATTATTGGTGTAAAAAATGTCCCGCCATTGGAAAGAGAGCTTAAGAAGAGATACAAAAGGAGGAGAGAGGAAAAGTGCAAGGTGGTTTATGAAATTTTAAAATAAAAAATAAGGGAAACAAATGTCCTCTGAGAGGAAAAGGAAACAAATGTCCTCTGAGAGGAAAAGGAGGGGTGAACACTGGTGATACATCTCTGCAATGGAATATTATGCAGTCATTAAGATGTTAAGTATGAAATCTGTAGTGGCATAAAAAAAAACTGTCCCTCTGCATCTGTGGAGAACTGCATCTAGGGCCTTTTAGACACCAAAATCTGTACATGCTCAAGTTGTCTGCAGAAAACAGAGCAGGATGTACATATAACCTATGCAAACTTTCCCTTATGCTTTAATGTTCTCTATATTAATTAATACAATGTGAATGCATATCAAAATTTACCAAACTGTATTGCTTAGGATGGAATAAAAAGAAGTCTGTAAGTGCTCAATACAGCTATTTTTTTTCAGAATATTTTTGATCTGTCTGTAGTTGGTTCAATGAACTTGGAATGCAGTTATAGAGGTCTGATTATCAATAATTTTTTTTTGGTTTTGTTTTTCAACACAGGGTCTCACTATGTACTATGGGCTGGCTGTGAACTTACTATGTAGCCCAGACTGGCCTCAAAATTATGGTAATCTTCCTGTTTCATGCTCTCCAGTGCTGGTACTACGGTACATCTCAGCATGCCTGACATAATAAATATTTTCTCAGTAGAGCCAAACATCACATGACTATGGAAGAGTACAACATCTGTTGTTAAGGAAGCGAGACTAGCAGTTACCTTACTTCCTTGTTTTATGATTCATCATGTTTTTCTGAAATGAAACAGACAGAACTAACAGCGTAGATGTGACGGGGTTTATCTTCACTGATTTCATTTGAAGTATCCTCTGAAAACCAAGCTTTTCTTTTCCCTGAAGCTCTTTGAAGAAATGGATATATGATCCAGACCAAATCATCTCAGAGAATGATAGCATTCTCTGCACACTAGGCGAAAGTTCAAAAAGCCAGGCCGCACATGCTCTGACATCAAAATCATGCCGAATGCTTACTGAGCAGCGGTGCTGATTGGGCCCCATGCCAGGCAAATGCACTGACTGCATGCACGGCCTTTATTACTGTTATTTTAACATATTGCTACTGCCTGTTAATTTTATAAAATATTGGATTTCAACATGGTACTTTCATGCATGTATATGTTTTGATAATATTCTTATTACTTCTGAACCACTGTTATATGCATGAACTTTAAAAGTGACTTTATAATCAGATTCCTCAAGTTGGATGAAGTCTTGGTTCAACTTTACCTTTGTATTATTTTACAGCACTTGCACCCCATCTGGATTTTTTTATTGTTACCATCTGGAAAAGAAAGGGCAGAAAGGAGAGAACATCGTGAATGGCATTGTAGCAGGAATTCAGTTCACTTTCATTCCCCCAAATACTCAAAATTCAGACTCACAAATTTCAGCAAAGGGTGACACACAGATGGAGGGGGAGGAGGGCACTGGATACCCAGAGCAACGTTACCTCTCTGAGGGCCAATTTGGAGTTCTCAGATATTGCTGACTCTCATCTCTGTGCCAGAACCCGTCCCCACTCCTATGAGTCATAATCTCCATGTTTATAGATGAGTAAAATATGGGTGCAAGATTGGCAGCGAGGGCATGGGCCTACTCTTTCTGTCACCCATTGGCTTTCATGGAGGACCCAGGGAACTTACCAGGGCACAGCCCACTGAAAAGCTGTAGGATTTATGAGAAGTTCTGAGATGCGTCCTTACTAGGGGTTAGCTATGCAGTTCTGATGGGATGCTGCAGGGAACGTCTCCAAAGGACAGTGGGATCTTGGTTGCTCTTGTTTTTCTTACTTCCCAGCTGCTATGAAGTGAGCAGCAGGCTTCCTCTACCATGTGTTGGACCATCATATGCCCAATCGACAGGGCCAACTGACCATGTGAGCACAAATAAACCTTCTCTCTTTATATGTATTAGTTTGTGTTAATGCTACAGATTATTTGAAATAAACAAAAGGAGGAAAGGTTTATAATGGCTCATGGTTTCAGAAGTATAAATCCACAGTTTTTTGTACCATGGCTTTGGGCCTGTAGCAAGGAAGACATCGTGGCAGACAGCGCCTTCAGAGCAAAGCTACTCTTCACACCAAGAAAGGCAGAACATTTCTTTGTACCAATGTGCATGTTACTCATTGTAATTACAGCTGTGATTCATGAGCCCTGTTCTCCTGCAGGTCAAAGAAATATCTCTGAGGTTTCCTGGAAAACATAGATTCATACTGTGACCTGCTCTTTTCCAAGTTGGATCTCCCCATCCCATTTTCTTCTGAACAAAATCTCTTCATGTAAAACTGGCCTATCATCTATGTAGAAAATCCTAAAGACTTAGTATGGAAGGCTCTCTAAATCAGTCTTTATTTCTAATAACTATGCTTTAAAAGTTACCAACATCTGTATTAGTTAGCTTTCTTATTGCTGGGACACAATAGCTAACACTCATAACAGAGAAGAGGTTTAATTTTGCTCAGGGCTCAGGGGAGTTAGTACATGGTTGGCCAGTGCCAAGGCAGGAACATCATGGTGGAAGGGCACAGAGGCGCAAAGCTGTTTGGTTCATGGAGACCCAGAAGCAGAGCAGGAGAACAGTGCCAGAGAGGAAAAGGCAAGGGATCAGCTAAGGTACCCAAGGGCACACTTTCACGACCCTCCCAGACACCCTAAAAGTGTGCTGCATCAAAGCAAGCAGTTCCCAAGCCAATCAAGTCGACACAATCAAACTTAATTATCACAAATACCAAAGCCCCAAGTTCCTCTGTGTCTAAAAAATATGCACACTAGGAAGAGATGAGTTGTTGCTGGGTATCTCTGCCTCCCTCATTCTCTCTCCTTTCTTCTTTCAGCCATAGATAGATTTCTTAGGATGCCACCTTATAAGCCTTTCCCCACAGGGAAAACAACTGTTGCTTTTTAAGAACTGACAGGCTGTGGAGTGCTGCTCATCACAGGGCCTGGAGTCACCATCTGATCAAATGACTTTGCTAGTGTGTCTTCTGCCGTGAGAACTTTGGGTACCTCTAGCAGCGCAGCTGTGACCTTGGCTGACCATGGGAACTACAGCGAGGCCTCCAGAACCCCTTGGAAACTGGAAAAGGACTCAGTGGCCTTGGAGGGTGGGTTTGTGACCCTCACTCAGGAGGAGGGGGCACTGCTGTGTCCCTCCCAGAAGAAACTTCATAGAGACTGATGTCAGAAATTCTTACGTGCTTGATATTTCTTGGAAGAAAGTTGGAAGATAATAATTTGAAAGGTTGGTATAAAAAAATGGGAAGAAAATTTAAGATGAGGTCTTGTGTTTCCCTGGCTGGTCTCAAGTTCCGTAGTTCAAGGGACCCTTTCACCTCAGCCTGCTGAGGAGGTGGAACTACCAGCACACGAAATCTGCCCCATTAACTGGGACACATGGTCAATCTGTGAATATTAATATGCAGAAAGTGTGTGACAGTAAAGAATTTTGTTATTCTGGAAGAATTACCAAGATTTCAAGTTGTAGTCTTAGTAAGAAGATTCCTATTGGAGTAAAATCACATGTGTGTAAGTTTTGTGGATACTCTCCACGTGTCACGCATCTCTTATCAGGTGCACAGTTACAGTGAATACAAACAATGTGAGAATCAGGAAGGTATAAAGAGAAATCATACACCTATACACAGCGTGGCAAGGCCCGTAGTTATCACCACTGTCTTCAAAGACATGAAAGGAGTCACATGACAGAGAACACGTATCGCTGTAATTAAAGTCGAAAATCCATCATTTCTCTTAAAAGTCACACAAGACACATGACATTGCACACTAAAGACTAACCTTATAAATGTTAGACATGTGGAATAGGCTTTTTGGTTCCAGTTCATTTCTAATACATGAGAGGACTCACAATGCAGGGAAATCATACTATTATGAAAAACGCAGAAAACCTTCCACACATTCTAGGACCATTAGAAGACATAAAAAGATTCACACTGGAGAGAAACCATATCTTTGTAAAGAAGGTTGGAAATTCTTCAGTGACCCTGGTTCTTCTAAAGTTCGTGAAGGAGTCACTCTGGAGAAGAGCCCCTAAATATGAAGAACGTGGAAAAGCCTTTGCACATTCTGCTCATTTTTAAGCCCATAAAGGTTTCAAACAGGAAGTTTCACATAGAGATCCTGTGAGTGTAAACCATGTGGAAAAGCTTTCACACTTTCCAGGGCTTTAGAATCCATGACAGGGTTCACACAATGCAGCAACTGTATGTAAAGAATATGGGAACTCCTTTAATGATTCTAATTCCTTTAAAGTTCAAGAAAGGATTTAAACTAGAGAGAAACCCTTTGAATATAAAGGGGGTTGTGGACATTATCAAGTCCTTGAAATAAGTCACACTGGAGAGAACCCCCCACACTGGAATCAGTACAGTAAAAAAGCAGGAAGGAACATGGGAAAGACTATAAGGATTCTTGTTCTTCTTAAGTTCATGAATGGATTCACACCAGACAGAAAACTGTGACCTTAATCTGTGTGTCAAAGCCCTGGCTTATTCTAGGTCTTTTCCCTTTATTAATGTGCTCACCACAGAGAAAGTTTGTGGATATATGCAGTGTGCAAAAGCCCTCAGGGATTCTTTTTTAAGTCCATGGAAAGATTCATGATGCAACCAAACATGAATGTAATATATTTCCATTTCATGCATGTAGTGTTTGGGTGAAGGAAGTATATTTGTAATATGGTGGTAGTTGCAATTTTTGCATGTGAATAAGGATCCACTGAAATGATACCTGCTTAAGTGTTACCATTTTTCTATTAGTCTACAGAGCAGGTACTTGGCATAGTTTTTATTCTAATAAGAAATACTTTTAAAAATCAGGGCTGAAAAGTTTTGTTTTGTTTTCCTTGCCGATAAATTCTTAGTACAAATTTGCAATATTAATTGTGTAGCTGTATAAATTACTGTTCTGCTAGTTTTGATATTTTTTAATAAAACTTCTTTATTAAAATAGAAGAATTAAACCATTTATGCTGAAGATTGTATTGTCTTGAATCTTTATAGGAAATTCATATATGTTACCTAGAAAAATTCAAGGAAAAAGAATTAAGAGAAAAAGTTTTATTGTGTTCTATTTTAATGAGTGTTCTAAAAATGGAACACTAGGCACTGGAGGGTAACAGACTAGTTAGATGCTTATGGGGGACTATATTTACTACATTGAAAAATAAAACCCTCAAATAACCTGTCATAGGCTGAAAAATGGCTTCCTAAGAGAGATCTCTGCACTACTGCCTGAATCTGTGAATTGCCTTCCAAGGAAAAGCAAAGACTCTTCAGATGTGAAGCGGCCTTCAAGTTAAGGGTCCTAAGATAGAGAAATCTGCTTGAGTTACCAGGCAAACATGGAGGCAATTCCACATCTGCTTATGAGGGGAAGGTTTGGTCACAAGGCGAGGAAGAGGCAAGGAACGGATTCACCCGTAGAACCTCAGGAGTGACCCCGCTCACAGCTCAGTTCAGCATGGTGACACTGATTTCAAGGCTTTTGGCCCCTAGGACCATGAGAGAGTAACTTCAGTTGCTTTAAACCCCCAAATCTGTAGTCTTTTCTTTGAGTGGCACAGGGAGTAAATGCATCTACAAGTCAGTTCATTCTTGGGCACCAAATCCTTGCTTCATACTTTTCTTGGGAAGAAAACAAATCAGTAGAGTCCATTGGGCCACTCAAGCATCATTGGTCACCTGTATCTCTTGAATGTCCCTTCTTTTCCTCCCTAGAAGGTACTACTACTGGATACTGAATCACAGTTTTGAATCTGAGGGAGTGCTGTGAGGCAGGGTGTTTCCCATAGCAGACTCCCAGCCCTGGGGACAGTGCCTGAACCAGGGACATATAATAGCTACCTCTGTAACCAGTGGGTTTTCTAATGGCTACAGCTCAAAAATGAGAGCAGAAGCTGCAAGCGTTTGGGGCAGCTGTGATGAATCAAGACCTCTGTCATAGGCTGACCGTGTCACCTAGGAGTTATGAGTAGGTACCGGGGCGAGAAATCCCTGGTTCTGAGCCCAGCTGTGCCTCGGGCTCACTGTGTGACTTTGGCCTCAGCCATTTCACAGCCTCTCACAGGGATAATACTACACTGATCTGATGGCATTGTTGGGATACACACAAGTAATATTCAGAATAAGCATAATGCTGGTAGGTATGTATTACTCAGTGCTTGAACTCACCGGCTTGCACACAGCATATTAAAATTTTTTCAAAAACATGCATGTCTTGCACTCATGAAAAATACACTTTAGTTGGCATGATACACACCTAC